GGGAGTGGGGTGGGGGAGGGGGTGTTCACACGCACAGGAAAGAGCACTGAAGAGTCGGGTCCCTGCCCAACCCCATTCGCTGCGTGTAAAATGGGCCAACAATCCCTCTCCCCATATGGCCAGGGGCCATTGGAACTGAGAGGTGGAGACCTGCCTGAGAGCTGCGGGCAGCGCTGCAGGGGGGGATTTTCGAGGCGAGGCCAGGGTTTGGAAAGCAGTGGGATTATTCCTCCGGATCCGGGCCTGGGGACAGGGTTCAAAGTTCCCGTTTAATCTCCTCGGCGGGAGGAGGAGGGGCGCGGGCGCCGTGGGCTGCGGGAGGCGCGGAGCCCCAGGTCCGCAGACTGCGTGTTCACACGCGACACCCGCACCTGCAAGCCCTAGGGGAGTCTAAACGGCTGCTCAGTCCCCGGGCTGTGCGGTGGCGCACGGCGTGGTCCTCCGGGCCGAGCTGGGGCAGGTGACTCCATGGTGGTGCGTCCTCACTGAGGAATACGGTACAACCCCAGAAGCGGCACACACTGAACGAGGATGGCCAGGTCTGAGTTCACATCTAGACCCCAATCTCCTGAGACCATTTGGGAGGCCGCCGAGCCCATCGGTGCTTCCCTTTCCTCACCAGAAGCCGGATAATAATAATAATAATAAATAATAATAATAACAACAATAATACCTGCGGGTCTCACGCCCCGCCCCCAGCCCCGCGCTCCCCAGGGACAGCAGCAAGGCTGCCCCTGGCAGCGGAATCCAGGTCACAGAAATACATGTAGTATTTTCTGAGTTTTCCCCAGGGACTGCTTTAGTCAGTCTTGGAAAAGGAAACGCCCTCTGGGAGGCCCGCAGCGGGAGCACGGCTTGGAGACCGCGCCATCGCCCCATTCTACAGAATCCGAAGCGAGGCTCAAGGGTGGGGTGGGTCGGGTCATCCCCCGGGGCCAGACGCGGCGGGGGCCGGGGGCTGGGGGTCGTGGGGGCTGAGCGATCAGAACAGGCGCCCACTCGGGCATCGCGTGCTCGCTGGCGCGGGAGCCGCGGGGAGCAGAGCCGCGGGCCTCTCGGGTTTCATCCCGCCCCCTGCTCCCAGCAGCTCCGCACAGATGTTCTCCCGCGGGGCCTCTCGGGCCGCGTTTCCGCGACCCTGGGTCGGTTCCTGAGGGGGCGGGAATGGGCCGCCCGGGCGCCGTCACCACCTGGCAAAGGCTTAGCGAGCACCTGGCCGATGAGGAGCATGGCTGGCTGGGCGGATGGGCCAGAAGGGCCGCGAGGCTCAGGGCCCCTGCCGTGTGCCAGGCCCGCTGCTGGCGGTGCCTTCTTCCTTCCTCCCAGCTCCCCAAGCAAGAGAGGAACGATTCGCTCGCTTCCTGTTACAGTAGGGGAAACTGAGACCCAGAGAGGTTAGGTTGCTTTTTCAAGCTCAGCATGCAGGCTTCAAACCGAGCCTTGAAGGCTGGGAAAGATCTGGACGTTTGGAAAAGGGAGGGTTGCATGTTAGGCAGGGGAACAGCTTGGGAAAGGCGACGAGGTGGGCAGGTTGCAGGGCGACGAAGGGAGGTGAGGCCAGGTGGGAGGGCCCAGGACTCTGCATTCCGTCTGCCAGAGGCTGAGCAGAGGCTTGGTGGGGCACTCTGCAGCAGCAAGGAGGCTGTCCGGGGCCTGCTGCAGAAATTTCGAGGCTGGTCGGGAGGAGCTGGGGGGAACACTGAGGCCGGCCTTGGCCAGGGCACCTGGGGAGCGCTGGGAAGCTGGTTCTGGTGTCTGCATTTGCTGGGGACCGGGGCTGGAGTCTTCCAGCTCTCTCTGCACAATCCCTTATCTGCAGCCTCAAAAGGTGAGGCACCGGTTAAGAGGTGTGGTGTGCTCCCCGGAGGAGGCGCCAGGCAGTGTGACAGCCAGGAGCTCCCAGGGCAGCAGGGGCATCAGGGGCTGAGGGCAGAAGGTAGCCAGCAGGCGCCAGGCAAACGGGTTGGACCGGCTGGGGAGGGGGCACAGACTCTGGGTGGGGCACTTGTGACTTGCTCCTGACTCGATGCCTTGAGGCTGGTAACCTGGGAGGCCACTCCCGGGGTGTCAGCCTGGGAGAGGTCTGGGCAGCACTGGCCCTGTTGAGATGGCAGAAGGTTTGGCCACAGGCTGGCCCTGGCACCCACCCCCACCTAGCCCCACCCCCAACAGAAACCTGAATGCCTTCTCGGTCCTTGCCCCCAAAGCCCCCAACAACTGTCCCTGTGCCAAGCTGCTCTCACTCTGCCTTCACTCTGCCTTCTGCGACCCCCTCCCCACTGCTCCAGTGAGGCAGAGGACCCCTCAACCCCCTCCCCAGCTTTTCTTGGCCACCCTTGGACACAGAGTCCTCTTCTGTCCCTTCTGCAGCCACTTTTCCTGGGGGTGAGCTCCCCTCCCCACCCTCAGCTAAGGGCGCCCACAGTGCCAGTTCCAACCTGCCTCTTTCTGAACTTCAGACCCCGACACTGGCTCCCTGGGGGGACACTGCCCCTGCCTTGCAAGCCCCTCAGACACCGTGTGCCCAGCGCCACTTCCTCGGCGTGGGTCGGAGTCCCAGCCACTCCAGCCAGCTGGCCGCGGGATGGCAAATAAGCTCCTTCCCTCTCGTGCATAGGATGGGGGTAACAATAGTGCCCACCTCATGGGGGGTGCCGAGTGGTCAGTATCAGCTTCTTGGAACAGCGCCTGGCACAGTAAGTGAGCGGTTGGTTACCAGTGTGTCTGAATCTAAGAGGAAGACCTCTTATCCAGCTCAGTGGGGACTGTCACTGAGAGGTTGTGGTAGGCAGCCCCAAAAGGTCCCCAGGGATGCCGCCTCGTAGTCACACCCTGGCGTGTCCCCCAGAAGTGATGGGGTTGCCGCTTTGGGGATGAAGGTGTCCTGTTTCGCATGCCGGCTCTGAAGCAGATCTGTGCCCAGGACCCTTCTAGGATTGGACATTTGCCTTCCGATCTGTACCTAATTCAATAGCAATTTTTAAAAACAATTACTTTCGACAAGTCGTTCCAGAACATCGACAGTGTCCCCAGACACACGGGCTGTCTCCCCGCACTTGTGTCCCAGCAGCTCGGGTACTCTTCCGTGAAAGGACTCACGCTAACACGCTCCACGGGTATAAAGAGGTTGCGAGACAAGGCCCGTGACTCTCGATGGGTGGGGCAGGCGTGGAGCAGCCCCTGTGGGGTGGGGGTGGGGGGCCCAACCTGGGGTGGGTTGGGAGGGTGGGCTTACGGGTTCCAGGGCTCCTTGAAGGGGTACCGCTCCGCTGGCGGCACGGGTCTGTGGGGTTTGGGAAAGGGTCCACAGCAGCCGTCAGCTTTCTGCTCCTGTGCTTCACAGAGGGTGCGGAGTGGCTCAGGCAGTGAACTGGTTAAGTGCAACTGGGTTGAAGCTTCCCGGGCGGCTGCACCTGCTCTGCTGCTGTTTACCTCCGGGTGCTGTGGTTCTCCCAGCTTCTGGGGCTTCTAAAGGCTTAAATCTAGGGAACATCTCTGTCACACAGCCCCGTTTCCCTCCATATTTCATCAGTCACCAAGTCTCGGTGGTTGTGCCTCCCAGATATCTCTTGGGTCCCCTTTTTTCCCTCCCAGTAACTCCAGCCCCCTCCAGTTCGGCTCCTTCCGGAAGGCTGCAGTGGGCTCTTCCTGCTCCCTCGCCTACACCCTCCCGCCCCTTCCCTTCACCTCCCCCTCTGCCCCTCCGTTCCTGCTCCCCCCCAGCCTCACCTAGGGCTCCCTACCTCTGGGTGTGTTTTCAAGCCAGGCTCCTCCTGGCCACCTGCTCACCTGGACTGCAGACAGAGGGTGGGCAAAGAGCCTGAGCTCTGGTCCTACCAGCTGAGACCGCTTATCTGTCCTGTGTCCTAGTTGTCTCAGGTGTAAGAAGGGCATAGCAGTGGCTATTCTTGCCCTTCCTTGGAGTCGAGGAGGATCACACAGGTGAAACGGGTCCAAAGTCAAGGGCTTTGTGAAGGGCTCTTACCGTGAGTGTCATCCCTGTGATCAGAAGCATTGAGAAACAAGGTGGTCAAAGCCACAGGATGGCCATTAAGAAATGCCACAAATCAGCAAAACTGCACCTGGCCCTTCCCCAGAGTGGTAGATGCAGAAGACCTGGGTTCGAGGCCTGGTCAGTCAGCTTCCTGGGAAGGTGCCTGCCAGGCAGACTCTCCCTCCTCAGACACAGGAGACACAACGCCTGAGCCACAATACTTTTGGGGATCCATGAAATGTTGAATTTTGTTTAAAATCAGAAAGAAAAAAGAACTTTTAGGGTGAAGAAAGTGTTTTAATATATGTGATTTACATATTCCCGTTTATACCAATGCAGTCGTAAAATGGAACGTTCATATTTTTCATGGAGGAAGGAGCCAGACAGGTGGGGTGCCTGGTGCACAAAAGCCAGGTGGGCCTCTGGGCAGGGTTTCAGGTACTGAGCCTCAGTTTTCTCACCTGGAGAGTGGGCGTGCTCCTGCGCGCTCCGTGAGAAGGAGGAGCCCGTGCGCGCTGGGGGCTGGCCCTGGGGCTCCTCCATCCAGCATCTACCAGGGATCTCCGATCACCGCTGTGGCACTTGGGACACGGCTTAAGAGAAGCAGACAAGCACCAGGCCTCACGAGGCTTGAAGGAGTTGATCGAGAAGGCACGGAAGGAAAGAAAGGAACGGGGAGCAGAGTGAACCAGATACCAGGAAACCTTTGGAGAGGAAAAACGGGCTAAGGAAACACTTTTCCTCCCCCTCCAGCTGACGAAGGGGCACGTGAGCCGGCTGCATAGAGCCCCACCACCCCCTGCTGGGGCTCCTGCAGACTGGGGTGCCTGCAGACTGGGGGCGCCCCTCCCAAGGGAGGAGCAGAGCTGGGGAGAGACTGGAGGCTCTGGGTCATACCCATAGCAGCATCCTGGGCTAGGCCATTCGAGTGCATCCTTTACATGCACTGAGCTCCCCTGCCTGTAAGGTGGGAGCAGGGAACTCACCTGCCTCACAGGTGAAGAAGCTGCCACTCAAGAGAGGTTAAATGGTAGACTCAGGGCCTGTCCAGGGGGTCATTTTCCGGGCTCAGCCGTGGCCCGTCCATCTCAGGGAGCGTGGCGCTCTGCCCGGAAGATGCTCGGTGGAGGAATCCCAGACTGGCTGATGGAGGGGTGGGGGCGGGACTGGAGTCTGTCCCAGATCCCCGAGTGTGTGTGCATGACAGAGAGATTTATCACCTAGGGGAACAGCCCCAGCCCACACCCACCCACCCCCACACATGCCCCTATGCAGTTGTCACTCAACATGCTCAACCCACATGCAGTGCGCGGTAGACACTGGGCGGACACACACACACACACACACACACACACACACACACACACACACGACCTGTGGACAAGCCCATAGCTCCAACCCTCTCGTTTTTTGGCCTCTTTTACGCTGAATTCAGACTCTACCCAGCCCAGCGCCCTGGGACCAAGTCGCAGGGGCAGTGCTGACCTGTCCTCAGAGGCCAGGCCTGGGTCCCTCAGGCTCCCCTCTGAGCTCCGGCTCTCCAGTGGCCTCCAGTGAGCAGCCTGGGAGTGTGTGGGTGGGAGCGTCTTTTGGGACTAGGCTCCCCCTGGCCTGCTGAGCACCGCAGGGAGAATCACGGGTGCAGAAGGGTGCTGAGGGGTGCGGTGAGGGGGCATCAAGAGGGAGCACCAAGAGGGGCCCTGGTCTCTTCCAGCTTGGCCTCCTGCTGGGACCCCTGCCAACTCCCGGCTTCCACTTCCCGCCATGGCTCCAAGCCTGGCAGCCCCGGTCATCATTCTCACAGTTGAAAAAGGAAGGGGAGGCCCCACCGAAGCACAGCCTCCAAGTGTGTCTGGAAACTTCTGCAGGGCCCGGGGTGCTCTGAATCCCCCTGGGCCTCAGTTTCCCTCAGGAAGATGGGCCCAGAACCACGAGGAACCCTTGTGGTCGGGGTGGGGTCCGGCGCGTGTGGCCTCACTGGCCTGCCAGGCTGTGGGTTTCTTGGCAGGAGCCGGCGGGGGCGGAGAGCAGCCGGCTCCAGGGCAGGAGCAGAACCGCGCCCCTCTCCCTAGGCCGGGCCTCCGTCCCCCCAGCCAGGGAGGCCGGGCCTGCAGGCAGCCAGCAGCCGCAGACGGGAGCCAGGCTGTTGCTGATGGATGGGGGAGGGGCTTATCTTGGGTCAAAGGTCGCCCCCTCCCCCTGCCCAAAGTGCTCTGAGACAGATCTTTGGCCATGGATCCAAAGGCCTGGAGCTCGTCTCCACGTCTCCACGTCTGTGAACGAGGGCGCGGGCGTGGGGGATGGGAGGGCGGGGCCCTGCAGGCCCCCCTCCTGCCCGCTGCTTCACCTCCTTCCCGGGTCACTAGAGGGGCTGTGGACCCCGGACGCTGGAACCCAGGGCTTCGAATCCCAGTTCCTGGGAGTCCAGACTCCAGAACCCCGGAACAGGGAGCGCTGGACCGAGAACGCCCCCCAGGGCGCGGCTGCGGGGGGTCGTGTGAAACCCTTCACTGTCCCTCTGCTTAGACACTTCCGTTCGCTCTCCTGGCCCTGGGCCCAGCAAGGCAGGGTGGAAGGGAGCGTCTGCCTGCGCGGTCTTGGGCTCCTTCTCCGGAATCCGAGTGAGGGAGTCCTGCCACCTGCCACCTCATCCTGGAGGCTCCTTTCATGGCCCGGAGGGGTGCGGGGTGCGGGGCACAGAGCTCACCCACCCGCCCGCGCAGCCTTCCCGGAACTGCAGCCTCTGGAGGGATGCCTTGCTGAGCCCGGCCCGGCCGACCTTGGCGACTGGGGGGCGGGGCTCGGGAGGCTCTCGTGCCTGAAGTTCCCAGTCCGCTGTCTGCTGCAGGCCCCTCGGGCTCGAGGGCTGCCAGGCCTGATGTAACCGAGGCTTGCGCACCGCGCCCCTGAGCCTGTGTGAGAAGCCAGGCCAGGCACCCCGCACACCCCGCTGGGGTGGCTTGGGAGCTGGCACATGCCCAGCCTCAGGATGGCCATCGTTAGGGGCACGTCAGCAAGCCCAGGGCCCCCCTTAGCTCCCGGCTGTACCCCAACGTCTTGGGAGGTCTTGGGCAGTGTTCCACGACTGGAGCATCAAGTGACCAACTGACTGATTCCTGGACCCCACAGAGCCTCATGAGCCTCAAGCGTGGCTGCGGCCAGGCCTAGGGCGGAGGCTCTGAGCCCGAGGGGCAGCTCTGGCCAGCTGGGCCCCTGGCACAGCCCCACCCTGGGGCCTGGTGGTCTGTGCCACACAGGACTCGGGACCAGCCAAGCCCTGGTATTTCACAAGCTCCTGGGTCCTCAGTCTCCAGCCTGTAAAGTGGGAACACCGCCACCTTCAGGGCTGTGGTGAGGACCAGATAACACTGGGGAAGTAGCAGCTTGCTGTGTGGCTGGCCCCAGGCCCAGCCCACGCAGCCCTCCGTCCACCATTAGCCTGGTGGCCTTGGGAATGTGGGCCCAAGAATTTCAAATTGGAGGGGCTAGAAGCTGGTGTTCAAACATCTGGAACCTTCTACAAAACCCAGGCCCACCGTGGGGTTAGGGTTTGGGATCCAGCCCTCCACCCGGATCTTGGAAGGCCCAGGGAGCAGGCAGGCCACTGGAGGGCAGGAGCTCAAGGGAAGACTCCATGTGGCCTGTCACTCCGTAGACCCTGATAAGTCCAGGCAATCGTGGGGCTTGCTCAGGTCTGGAGGAAGACAAGGAATTCTGCTCTGTGACAGGGACGTGCTGCCCTGCTGCCTGACTACAGGGGCCGCCCTGGAGGTGGGGCCGAAGGGACAGTAAGGGAGGTGGGAGGGGTCCCTCCAAGGGCCTGGCAGTCTGGGTAGCACCCCTTGGTTGCAGGCACCTCACTCACTGCTCCCCAGGCCTGGGTCATAGCCAGATCCCCACCAGTTCCCGAGGGCCCCTTCGCCCTCCTACTGGCCGCGGGAGTCTCGCTCCGTGGGCACGCCCCCCCATCCCAGCAGAGCAATAAACTTTCATTTCTTCGGCTTTCTTAGAGCTCTTTGGTGTTTATTATCGCAGTAACCCGTGGGAGGAGGT